ATCTCCCCTTCTGCCCTGGGCTATTCACATTTCCTATATCCTCCTATCATGCCTTCCCTGTCACAGTTTTAACCGTGCTTATTCTTAATGTAATATGGTGTGCTCCTTCGAGCGGCATTCATGAAAACTCTTCACACTCCCCACTGTCGTTATCACCCCCTTCACCCTTGTGCTGGAAATTTTGACCAGAGTCTGTCATATTGTTACGTAGTCCTTCCCTGGGCCCTATCAAAGTCTCCCTCTTGCCCCGTAGAATTCGTCTGCTATCTCTCTGGTACACGTAATTCACTCGACCTCTGCCCCCCCCATCTGTGCTATTCAAGACGTGATTCGTCCATCCCCTGCAGACGGATTCGACGGGGAAAGAGGGAGACTTTGATAGGACGCAGGGAAGGACTATGTAACAATATGACAGACTCTGGTCAACATTCCCAGCACAAGAGTGAAGGGGGGGATAACGACAGCGTGGAATGTGAAGGGTTTTCATGAATGCCGCTCGAAGGAGCACATAACACTACATAAAAAATAAGCACGGTGAAAAATATAAAGTACAAAAAATGTTAGCTCGCTTCTTTTGCTTGGGCGAAAATTATCGAAAAAACAAATATAAATCCGAGAAAATGTAGGCAAACCTCCGTACAAAGCCTTGCAAAGTTCGACGCCAAACCCTCGCGGATCAAGGCGCGTGCAGCCACATTTCCAGCCGCCTTGGAGCGCATGCAAATCCGGTGCATAAAGCCGGGCAGAAGATAGGGGTCATCGATAGCATCGAAATCGATTGTACCTGGGACCGGACGGACACAACCAGCTAGAGCGCGCAGGATCGAAAAGGAGTCCCGATAACGCTTCAAAGGTGGCAGTAGCTCAGCCGATTCGGGACCGATGGGGATCCGGGCCTTATCGACTTGTCCCGCAGTCGATGCCAAATAAGCTACTGGTTGGCTAGAGAAGCGGGCGGCTGGGTACGAATTAGCCAATGTTGGTGAAGGCAACGGCGGATCAATTCGAACTATAAATGGCAAGAGCCGGTGAATTTGAAGAGAGGGTGTCGAGCCGATCCTAGACATGGAGCTTGAATAAGAAAGGATGATGGCAATTACAAAGCTTTGAGCCAATGTACTAGGAAGTGAATGCGAAGCTTATCCTGGAAACAGGAAAAGCAGGAGTCAAGATACAAAAGACTCAGGCAGAAGACAGTTAGCATTCCTTCAAGGCAAGCTCATTCATTCAGGCTCAAGGCAATGAGCTTTCACCATAAGGTGCTGGTTGATATAGACAATGAATTTTAAATTAAACGAAGTAACAGTATACTAAATGATACGCTTAGTAAATCAAGATCAAGACAACTCAGAATATTAGGTAAAAATACTTTTATGATATAATCAAAGATAAGGCTTCGAAATACAACACTCTTTTTGGCGGTAAAAAGTAAATAATATTTGGTACAGGATATCATAAGGAAATAGCACAATTTATAGTATAAAGTACAGTGTGATAATATCCGTATGGGCCGCCTTGTAGGCCTAACAGCATTCATGAAATTTACTATATTGCAGAGCAACCAAGATGCACTCGATGATTAGCTCTTATTTTAACAGATAACTGATGTCATATATAATTGCTTATAAAAAACGTGCTGATATGCTACATATATACGATATTATATGTTAGTATATCATATACCTAGAATGACATCAGCAATAAATTCACTGCAATCTAGGTAAGACGTATTTCATAAAAATCCTAATAAGGCATGCAGTCCAAAAAATAACCATGGATCATTAGCAGTTAATCTGCTTGATGTAAATGACGAATATACAGTCACAGAAGAGGAAATAAAAGAAATGCTCAAATTAATATAAAATTCTATATTCTTAATATATAAAAAATATACAGGCAAGAAAATCCGGCATAAAAAGGTGACAAGGTGGCAAGATAAGCATATTGTCATCTGCTAAGCGCGGGAGGTATATAAATAAATCGGATTTATATAGAAGGAAGCACAAATCAAGAATGAAGCTAGAAGCCAAGGGCCGTAGGAGTTCGGTTGCGCAGGCGTGTTTGCCAGCTAGATCGAGAACCAAGAGATGAAGTATGTGATGAAAGCACATTCGCGTCAATATCCGATTTAATTCTTGAAATGGGTGACTGTGTCTCCCGAACTGCCGAACGCAAGAAGACGCCAGGAGCAGCTGAGAGCCTCACAACTGGGTCTGAAAGACACTTGGCATGATCACGAACAGAGACCAACCTACGGCCTAACGATCTGCTGATGGAAGAGCCAGCTGCTCGAGGTGCTTGCCAGCGCATGGGCTCCAACTTAATTCCACTCGCCTGTCTTGACTGTTCCGTAGATCTTACGGAGTGGATTGCGTCCAGCGAAAGCCCTGGCACCTGAGAATGTGCTTGGTTTGACCTTAAAGGACACGTTGTCCTAGAGCGCAGAACGATACCCGAGCCACCATCACTACCTGTAGGAGTTTCCTCCAGTTTGGATAAATTGAGACAAAAATTTACGAGTCCTTCATCTACAGCAGATAGAGATTGAGGTGGAGAACAGGATAATTTTAAGCGTTTTGCGGCTGAGGCGGCCTCCAGATCGCCTGAACCGGAGGCAAGTGACAAAACGGGCTTAGTACCACGTGATAAACTTCGGTGGCTTTCGGAATATCCTTCGGATTGCTCTGGAGTCGAAGTAAGTTGAATTTTTCGGGTGATCGGGGTATGAGAGTTCGTTTCGATTATGGGTTCTTTAGTGACCGCAGCAGCTGAATCCGTGGTAGCGGAAGAAATATTGATAGTTGCCATGGGAGTATAATCAAGCTGGCCTGGAGTAACTTTTAGCCTTGGAATGTTATGATGGGCTGAGGCCGTGGCAGACCGAGACTGATCCCAGGCTCGAGGTGAAGGCGGCACCGCAGAGTCATTGTGTAACAGTGGTGGACTACGAGGCCTACGGTCACCGTACAGAGTAATCTGAGTGCTGCTGCTACCGATACTAATGCCGGGAGTTGTTAAACCACGATGGCCAGCTCGGACGCCAGCACCATCTCCACCAGCTGCTAAATCAAAGGTACGTAGATGGCTGCCACCGCGCTCGCGGACAGAGAAATCAGATTGAGGCAGCATAGAAGCCGACGACATGGGGGCGGAACGAGAGGATATGTCGTGAGATATTTGAGATGAAACAGGTCGAGACCCCGGAGATAAAGGTACAAGTTTCTGCCGTGAAGATCTCACTTCGAGAAGGTTTGATTGAACAAGATCAGTCTGTGGATCTGTGTCATCAGAGGTGGTAGATGGTGGAGGTGCTGGCACTAAAACCTCTTTTGTTGGACTGAGGCAAGCTGAAAATGTATTGGTGCCAAAAACGGAGACGAAGGTAGCGATAAAGTCAGGTAGTAGGTAAAATGAGAGCAAAACTAAAATAGGTCAATCCGTCAAAGAATGAGAGTAGAGAGAAATAGCAAGTAGCTATATATGGCCGCACAAATAGAAATAGGTTAAAAAGAAGCATCTGATTTACTCTACGAAGATAATAAACAAAACTAATTTTATAAAACTTCACCATAAAACGTCTGCAAATAGTGAGTAAGGTTTTGTAGAATATAAATGCTATATACGGGCCTAAGCGTAATGTTCTAAACGATATACGGGCCTCATGAACCAATCTCAAGAAAGTTATATGGGAAAAAGCTATAGGAATCGCTAACTTAAAACATTATGAGAAATGAAAAGTAAGAAAATAACAAAGCAGATAAGAAACACTAACCATTAAAATCAATCTTGATATCAGAAGCATCCAAAAGTGCTGGCCTAAGACGTTGACTACGTCTAATCGACAATGAAGAAGGCACTGCACTAGTCCAATCGGTAGTCATCGCACAAATATTTGGAGGGTTATCAGACGTTGAGCCATCGAAAAAGGAAGATTTTAGACAAACAGCTCCAGAAATGGCTGAGCTATGAGGAACTTCTGACGTAGACACGTTTGGAGAAAACCAAAAATCAGCAGTTTTTTCTAGGTACTGGAGAAGGAGATATAAATGCCTTAGAACGATCGTTCTTCGACATTTTGTCAAGGCCATATCATCAAGTAATGACGGTAAACGAACTGAGATGTAGTGGATGAATATAAATGAACTGTAAACTAATGAAAATATACTGCAAATAAAGTCGAGTAAGGCATAAAAGTTTTCACATAATATAGAAAATGAAACTAA